AGCAATATGAAATAAGAGCTACAAAAGATTCTATACCTTTTACCAGGCATTTCTCTTTGGGGAAATATATCTCAAGAAGGGGTGAGGGTAGGGGGAAGCAATCTGCTTGTTTGCAGCAGCAATATTTATGCCAGCCTCAAACTGGAAAGAGTATATATGCCCTAATATGGGGTTGGCTGAACACACTATGACACATAAAATGATGAAATACTAAATGGGCTATTCAGAATGAGCTGAATGTGGTCAAAGCAGATCTATGGAATGTAAAATTACAACACTACTAAATATTTTAAACAATAGGATGCAGCCACTGCTTGAAACCATAAAACAATCCCACAAGGATACTATTTCAGAAACTAAATCAGATATATACCTGAGAATTCAATCTGCTAGAGCTTGATGTGGTGGTAATAAAACTACCGAAGAAATACAAAATGTAAAATATGAAAACAGACAAATATTCCTGGCTATGAGATCAAAATATATGTGTCCATGCCAACATCCCATGGATGCCTAATAGCTGAAATTAATTTCTTAATTTGTGCCATTAAAATACCTCTGTGCTCTGTAGCTTCTTGAAGACTGGCTATAAAATTAGAGTATTCCTCGGGAGAGTAATGAGGCACAAGGCTCTACATCAGTGCTGCTCAGGAAACATTCCTTTAATCCTTTTTGTTTATTCTAGTCCCTGCATTTATGAACTCTCTAAATCCCTTCTACTTAAACCACAGCACTAAACCACCAGGATTAAAGACATGGTGGATTTTCTAACTGAATGTACTTACTTTATCTTTGAGCAATGTGTTTAGAGGGTTTGTACTTTAGTAGTTTGCTGAATGAACTTGTACAAAATAATGTGTCTGAAAACTTTTAAAATTTATTTTATCAGCAAGGAAGACAGGTTTCCATTATTTCCTCTAAGGACAGGTTATCCAGCCCCACTATATAAATTTTGCATGTGTTCATGGGCTCTGAAGCCAGAACACATGACTTGGCTACGTTTTAAGTTATGCCTTACACATTATCAGGAAGATGACTTTAATGAAGATTGTTCAATGAACTGTTGATTAGTTGACAAAATCAGAACTTTTACAGGATACTCAGGCAATCAATGCAACTGCAAAAGCTTGAAGGCATTAGGAGCAAGACAAGCATTAATGCATCATTCAGCCTCCAAACAGGATGGCATGTGTCTAAGAATGAGATGGCACCAACAGGGGCATCAGTCATTCTGGTAATCTGTTTCATGGACCACTTGCCTGACCTATAAGCTCTCAGTCATGACTTCTACCATCTTTCAAAACATTCACCATGAATTTTAGGGTCTTTTATATCATTGTTTCCTCCACCATGGCCATGTTAGCAGCTAAACTAGATAGAATTCAGACAGGTCACCCTACAACATACCTGGCTTCTAAAATGAGCAAAATCACAGAAAACAGAGTGTCTTTATGCTTCTACTTTAAAGTAATCCATTTTAACTAAGTCATTCTTACTGACCCACTTTCTCCTCTGTCACAGTTTTAACTCAAGAATCAAGACACAACAACCTGTAGATTATTTATCTTTAGATTGAGCAACTCTACATTTTAAAACTTGCTAGAATTTAATATAACCCCAGAATTAATCAATTCTGCATAGTACAATATTAATTACCTTACACTGACAATGTCAATGTCTGAGGTTCTTCCAAAGCTGTTAACATTTGCTATTCAACCAATTTCACATAAAGTGAAATTTCTTTAGTCAGCTACATTCAATAACACATTTCACAAAAATAACCTCTCCAATATGCTCTCATGACACAGTAGCAAAATTAAACAGGTATCACCTGCAAAAATTCTAATTCAATCCAATTCAAGTGATGCGAACCAAGTGTCCACTATGCACTAGGCTTATGTCAGGCTTCTTAAAAGAAACAAATTTTGATTTAAAAACACCCACCACCACCTATGTATGTCCCTAAACATTGAAAGTAACTGGTCTATGAAATCACAAAATCCAAAAGCCTTGGGACCACTGATTTGCAAGGTTTTATTGCACTTCTGCTTTTCCCATGCCTAAGTGACCATCTGGTTTAGGATGAGCATCTCTAGAAGCACCATTAACTGTTTTATGCCACCAGGGACTAGGCTGTGAATTATTGCTCAGTGCTATTTAATGTAGACAGAAAATTATTAAATGGCAATGAAGTAGTAATTACTCTATAGTTCCCCAGTGGCTCAAAGAGTCAGTAATTAGCTCCCACTTACTGCAGTAAGATGGTGAGTTATTAAATAGCACTAAAGGAACAGTTCATTAAATGGTACCTTAGTGCCCTGAAAGAGTCATTTCCATACTGCTCACCAGGAGCATATTTAGACACTGGGGGAATCCAGCTGTTTGCTGAAAACAACATGAATTTTCACACAGTAGCCAACTTCAGCTAGTAACTCTGGCATTTGGCTGGATGACTGGCAAGCACTTTATTCCACGTCCCTATGAAAGAACCCAGCATTCTGATTTGCCCTGCACCCTAAGCACTGGGGGGTGGTGGGGGGGAGACAAGACAACAGCCCATTGAGTCTATCACAACCCTGGCTTTTTTACCACTCTGCATCCAAAGCTGTGGTGCATCTTCTGTCACAAATTTATACTTTGCTTTTCTAATGTGAACAAGGGACATTTAAAACTAAGTCATGACGTATTTACAAATAAAATTTGCCATATTTGCTCTGACATCCTCCTTTAAAGTGTCTTTTCTGTGCATCCCAGTTACTCCCCACTCACAGTTCCCACCTCTCATTCCCAATTTATCTTACTTAACCTTTTCAGTAGTCATTCCTTCCTCCAGCTACTAACCCCAGCTTTTAAGCCAAAAGTCAACATGAAAAGTCGATCTCACCTAGAAGCCTACCTAATGAGAAGACATTTTTTAAAAACTCTCCCAAACTACTTTGAAAGTCACCCCTCTGCATACCCAAAAAGTTTGTAAGGGAAACTAATTTGGTGTTGTCTTTGCCTCTGAGCAAAAAGTATCTATATCTTGTTATTGCAACAGTCCCAACAGGCAAAATCTACCTTTCATAGATCTGTGTAAGGCTCAGACAAATAAAGATCGCTAAATACTGAATCACTCTGAGCAATTAAAAAACACACACTAAAAAGCTTTTTAAGAAGACACATGATATCCTTATCATTAGATGAACTCATGAAAGCGTAAAAGAGAGATAAGCAATTAACCAATGTACTGGTAAAAAGTTTCAGGTGACACCAGGGGATGGACAAATGAGATCAAGGAGATAAAGTTCAAAGAGGTGGAACAACAGGTCATTAATCACATGGATCTGGGAAAACTCTCAGAGGCTTAAATGAATGGAGAAAACATTCTAGTAGAAACCAAAGATGGTGAAAGCAGTATGTTCTTAGTAGAAATGTTAGAACACTCACCTGAAAATTACATTTCCAAATAAAAAGCTCAAGAGTTATTTCTTAAGGTCCATATCAGATTACAAGAAAGTATTTGATACTTTTACTGTAAGAAAGCTGTTAGCAGTAAGAAACTACTGTTAGCAGTTTTAGGAGTGATATGAAAATATGGAGAATGACACATTATTCAAAATGGACAGTTTTAATTGCATAACCCCTAATGTGATAATTACCTAAAACGGAGAATAAAAAAAGACATAACTACCTACTAGAACAATGTAAGGGGAAATACCCACTGGACATGAATTTTTGGTTTTTAACCACTGAAGTTACAAAATATATCATGAAATCTCTTCTAAACTAGTGATCTATAGTCTATTTGTCTAGAAAAGTGGCTAAAAGATTTGAGAAATACAATCATCTACCACTTAAAACACATGAGAGAACAGTATTTCTAAAAGTCAGCAAGAGGCTTTCCTTCATTGTGGTATATAATCATCCTTTCTGCAGGTAGTTTGTCAACAGGCATGGAAATCCAAAATGGTCACAGTTCGACTCTAGTTTTAATACACTTACTCTGAAAGACCCATAAGCGTAGTATAAGAATGTCTACTGGATTTCAGATCACGTGCCTAAGGTACAGATGTGTGGTAATCATCAAAGTGATTACTTCTAGAAGGTGGGTACACCACATGGTTTTTCTGTATCATTGGAATTTTCTATAATGAGTTTAAAAAAAACAGAAATTTAAGCTTCTTTCATTTTGGAGGGTAATAAGTCATTGATAAATCTTTTTTTAAAAAACACATCTTTTTTCTAGAAAGCACAACAATCTTCCTTTAATTATAAGATGAAGAACCACTGCCATACAACAGTAGTCTCTGGATGGGAGCAGCCCAATCCTCAAGCTGGTGAAGTGCCTGCCCTGGTTAGTAGCATCCAGTGCCAGGGTCACATCAGACTGCCACAGACAGAGGTTGGGCAGAGCTCCTCAGCCAGACCCCACCCAAGCCCACAGGACCACCAGCCTCCTGGTCAGCACATGTCCACTCTCCAGCTCTAGGAGAGTAGGGCGGACAGTAAAGTCCGGTTCAGGAAAAAGGTAGCTGGGCCCTCTACACCCAGCACTTGGCTCTGTCCAAGCAGGGAATGGAGTTAAAATGAAACTTCTCCGGGCCTCCCCTGGTGGCGCCGCGGTTGAGCGCTGGGCTGCGAAGCTGCCTGCAGCAGCCTCTGCAGCACCGGTTTGATCCCCGGTCACTGGCGAGGGTCCCACATGGCGCGCAGACCTCTCCTGCTGCCCGCTGCTCCCCTCAGCAGTGTACTTCATCGGTCTGCCTGTTCTGATCCCCGCTCTGGCTCTGGTGAATTCTCTCACCCTCCCGCACTTCTGACTATACCCAGTGCTTGTATAAATAAAAATAAATCTTAAAAAAAAAAAAAAGAAAGAAACTTCTCCAAAAAGGAGTAGAATAGAGAAGATGTGAGGCAGGCAGTGGGCAGAGGAAAACTCTCGGCTTGGTGAAATCAGCAAACATGCTCACTGATTCTGGCAAGATTCCACTCAAGAAGCAAAGGCTCCAAACAATTACCAGTTAGCAGATCCGTGATAGAGGTTAGCTGTGGTTCCAGAGCTGTAATATGCCTTGGAGGTGGTTGTGTAGTCAAAAAATTCAGGGCCTCAGCTGTTAAGATTGTAAGCAAAAAGATTACTATGTAAATGCAAACAAACTCCTGAGAAAAATTATCAATAATAGCTCCTCTGAGTTCAGTCTCCAAGGATTAAAGCAGCAGAAAAAAGTTCCCTGTCATTTCTCTGCTTCTCTCCCACCCCAAACCTTCATCGGTCTCTCCTGTGCATTTACGATGATGTACTTCTTCATCTACTTTGACCATATGCAAAGTTTGTCCAGTATTCTGACACCTATCATGTGGCAAAGATGTGATTAGACCACCAGTCAAGAAAAGAGCAGCTCATGGGCCTGAATACGATGTATGGGAGTATTTTTTCCCAAGAAGCTAGACATAGAGCAAGTGGTGTGACTCAGATTCAGTTAAGGTCACTTTGTTGTTACCAAAACAAAAAAACAAACAAACCCAAAACTGAAGTTTATTAATTGCTATGAGCAAAGAAACAAATGGGAGGTGGTATAAATTTTTTCAAGGCACTAGTTTTTAAAACACAACAAAATATAATGCCAGTGTTCATCAAGCAAGGGAAAACAACAGCCTCCCCTGCCAGCACAGAGCTGACAGCCAGATGGGCCAGAGCACAGGTAGCCCCACGAGACCTGCTGCAGAGACAGGACAGAGCAGGGCAAGGTTGCTGGCGGCAGAGGCATGGAAGACAGACTTCCAAAGTGAAGCTCAGTCTGGGCCTTGAGTTCTGTGCCTCCTTGGTCCCCACACCCTGAGGGGATAAGAATTATCAGGAGGTTTCTCTGGACTCCCATCTCAGTAATAGACATACCAGGGGCTTGGCAGGTACGCAGAGCTGAGCCCTGAACGGTGAGCCCCAGGAAGCCACGTCAGAAACCAGGCAGAGAGCATTTCAGACAGGAGACAGACACATGGGAAGTTGTGAGTTGGGAAGGAGCTTGGTGGCCGAGAGCCAGGCAGACAGATCTCAGGGCTGAAGCAGGATGAGCTGGAGCTGGCAAAGCAGGCCAAGATCACATCCGGCTAATTGGGCTTTGACAAAGAATTTGGATTTTATCCTTCCAAGAAAGAATTGGGAGGTTTTAAGCAGGGAGTGAATAGTCTAATCTGCCATCTAATTTACATTTTTAACAATTCTGACAGCTGCCGTGTATATAATGGATCATGTGGGAGGTCAAACCTTAAGTTTTACTGAAAATCTGCTGTTAAGATTCAATGTATTAGGCCACAAAAGGGAGTATTTTTCTAATTCCATTTCTAATTCCATAAGCTCTTAAGAATATACACACGTACATAGTGGTGCTTCAGTCTTTAAAAAACCATAGTATGTTGAAAGATGGTCCTTTCTAGGCAGTGTATTTCTCTCTAAAATAACAATAAAATTTTTTGGTGTTTTTCTTTCAAAAGACAAAACAAATCAGTAAGACAGAATAAGAATAAGCATATTCTTTTAGAGCACTGTGCTTTCACAAGACAGTTTGTCACAAATTAATGCAAAGTTAACTGATCACTGACCATGGAAAATGTCCTACTAGCCACATAATATTCAGATGTTGACACTGTGAAAACATTTCTTCTTAAAGAGATTTAACTAGTGGAATAATGATATGGAAAATAATGATATGTAAAAATCACACTAGTCTTTTGCAGAGATTTCCCTTTAGAAATTAAAGAGGAAAAGTCACTACTGTAAATGGTTAGTAGTAGAGTATGACTTGCATCCTCTAGAACTGGAATGTCATGGTATCATCATCATCAAAAAACTGGAAATATGACTACTATTTATCCAGAGACTTCCTCTAAAACAGTTAAAGTGCTTTACAAATATCATCCTCATAATAACCCCATAAAGAGAGGAGACTCTGCCATAAAAGTTCATTGGGCGTGAAAACTTGGCTCGGCTATTCAACAGCTTGATCCAAAAGCAATTATTAAAATTAATTTTTAACAGCAACAAAAATAATTTGGCTGAAAGAGAAAATGAATAAGCACCCACTATCTACCCACAGCAGATTTCCTCGACACAAAGGCTGCCGATCCTTGCTCCGATACCCACAATCTCATCTATGAAATCAGCTCCTGAAAACAGTGATGGCCAAGAGACCTGGTGCCAAGGGTTGTCTTGAAAGTGCCGGACTCCATTTTACAACAGCACTTGGCCCTCTATTTATAATGCCTTTAAGGCTGGCACCAAATGAGCTGGGGTGATAGTGATGTCCTAATGAATTAAGGTTAAGCAAAGAGTCATCCCTCATAATGCTTACTAGTGGCCCACTGGAGGACGGGAAGAATCATTCTGACCTCTCTTTTCCAGTGAGTTCTGCCACATGCACACCTGGGGACCCTGACTTTCTCCTGGCAGATGAAACAATGAAAGGATGGGATGGCTGTATGGACTAGGCAGGTGTGCACAAAAGCAGAGGCATTTGCAGGTGCAAAGAACGCCAACTGCCACAGCTCTTTTCCATGTTGAGAAGCAGAGGCCATAGGAATGAGGCCAAGTCCACAGAACATGTTTGGAGGTCATGCTGCCATTGCCAGTCTTTTACCTCCCTGTGGACTATTAGTCTCTTTAGCTATGGGCAAGTTTCCTGGATGAGAAATGAATGCAGCCAATTCTACAAAACAATCAGAAATTTGGAACATGAAATTGGTTTCCCTGGTTCTTAAATCCAGGATTATCCCATGTGCTCTAGAGGTGGCCACAAGTAACTAAGCAAGGGGACCTTCCCAGACTTTTCACAACACATGACATGGTGAGAGATTCACATCCCCGCTTTGCTAGTTGTGTTATTTACAGTTACTGGTACTTACTGAGTTCTATTGGCCTCATCTGTAAAAATGGCTGTAATACCTTACAGGGAGATTGTGAAAATTGTTTGCTAATGAACATAGAGTACCGGGCATAAAACAGATGCACCGAAGTCTGGGTTTGAACGCTCATCTCAACTTGCTTGTTTTATCTTAGCTAGGCAGTTTACAACCCACACAGTTCACACAGTTCAAGACTTTCTCCACCATAACTGCAGAAGAGTCTAACCTTCCATCACCAATGTGGGTAGTACTAACATTTCAGGAGTGATTGTGAGCAGGCATTAGGCTCCCTGTTTCCTAAAGCCTTTGGGAAGACAAATCTCCCTCCCAGATGCAAATACCTCTGGAGGTGAAGGGAGGAGCAAGGAAAGAGAAGGGTTAGTTAAGAATCATTATAAAAATCAGAAAAGGAAATCAAAGAGAGATCAAGAAAATTTGAACAAGAAGGACCTGTTAGTAAGCAAAGGTAGATGAAAATGCGAGAATAAAAGAAAACACATACCATATTTCCTCCCTTTTCCTGCATCAAAACCTGCATTGTTGAACTGTTGACCAAAACAATCCAAATTTTTGAAAAGTCATAAGGACTCAGTAACTAATAGAAAACTGTTGTCTAAAAACAAATCTATATATGGTAGACATTCTTAATCTGATCTTTCATAAACACTAAGCCCAAGATTTCAAATTAACTTATGACCTGCCAGACAATCTTCAACCTACAAATCTGTCCTCTTGATGGAACATCTAGAGAAGCCCTACTCCTTTGTTCAGCTAATCTAAAAGCACTCCGATTGTCAGTCAGACAGAAAAAGACAAATGATCTCACAGTATATGTGGAATCCTAAAAAAATAAAGAAATAAAAGCTGAGTTTGTAGACACAGAGACCAGATTGGTGTTCGCCAGAGGCCAGGGTTGGGGAGCAGAGCATATGGAAACAGTGAAGAGGGTCAAAAGGTACAAACTTTAGTTATAAAATAAATAGACCATGGGGATGTAATGTACATTATAGTTTATGATACATATTGCACATCTGAAAGTTGCTAAGAGAAAACTTAAAAGTTCTCATTCACAAGAAAAACATTTGTAACTATGTATGACAGATATTCACCAGACTTATTATTTTGCAATATATACAAATATTAAATAATTATGCTTTACACCCAAATGTAATGCTATATGTCAATTATTCCTACATAGAAAAAAAGAGCTCAACATATCCCAAAATATAAAGTTGAATTTGGATTCAAATGCTATGCTACAATTAACAAAAACCAATTATCTGACACTAGGGGATGACTCCTTTGGCACCCAAAGTATAAATGTCCAAGGTCAAGCTGATGGATACACAGAAACACAACACCCACATGCCCTCCTCGACTTGTACCCTCTTTTCTACCATCTGATGGGGCACCACTCTGGAAAGACTATTCGAAGGGAGCTCCCTGAGATGGCCACATAACAAAAGTTTGGTGTGCAAAGTTGGTGCCTTTGCAAAGTTGGTGCCTGGATGAGAGGTTTGAGGTGCCTGATGGTGATCATGCCCTTAAGACCAGAAACACAAAATAGTCACACCATTTCTTTCACCTCTTCCTCACCGACCTCCTGTGCTTCTCCTTCATTCGCCTCTGGCGAACACCAATCTGGTCTCTGTGTCTACAAATTCTAGTCCACCCCCTTGCCAAATCCAGAAGTCTTTCCCCGGGTTCCCTTTGCAATTACCCTGACTATTGATTGCTTCAGAAGACATTTTCTACAAAAACCACAAAGCCAGAAAGGGATTTTGGCAAGAATTTAAAGGCAGTCACATCCAAATTTCAGATTCCTGATCCCTAGTCTGTGTATTGACATACATGTCGCCCCACTACCTGAAAAAAAAAAATGTTCCTATCTTACTATGATTTGGTGGGTTATGGCGGGGGGGTCTTGGAATATTATTACAATTTATATGAAATTGTTTTTGAGTAGTCCCAGGCCCCCAAAATAATCAAATCATATCTAGTAGGAACCTTCTACTTTTTGGACAGTAGGGAAAGGCTGGATCCAGGAGAGAAAAAGGAAGGATGCTAAAAGGGACGCAGGTTGTGGGTAAGCCACTAGGAAGTCTGATTTTCACGGTCGTCCTTCACCGCCTTCATGGAAGGGAACTATGATTCCCTTATTACACTTCAGCCAACAATTCTTCCTATTCGTCTGACTCTTCTCACTAACATT